GTGCTGTTGTGAATTGCATCACTCTACTCACTAGATAAATCTGTCAAACTACAGGTGTGTGTATGTGTGTGTGTGTATGTGTGTCTGAGTTTATGAGTGTATGGAGACTGGTGGTTTTTCATGGTGTCAAACTCGTATCCTGGCGTGTTAAACTCATTAAGAAAGTGGGTGATCAGACTTGAATTTTACTGTGTGCACATACATTTCGTGCATTCACACGTTTTGATCAATAAGGTTGAACTTAAGAACATTTAGTCTTTTTTTTTTTCTTCTCATATCCACATTTCTTTTTTGTCAGGCTGACTCTTTCTGTATTTCACTCTGAACCTCTCTCTTTCTCTCTTTTGGGACTCACTGTTTTCTTTCCTTGGTCCTGTCCATCTGCTTCTTATAACACTGGGGCAGTCTGATCTGGTTTGCAGAAACCCCCTCTGAAAAATCAGACATTTATTCACGTACAACCAAAATAGTCCCTTTTTTCATCAAAATAACCCCTCTAAAAAAACTGTCTGAGCGCTGTTTCAATAGGGTGGTCAAATCTGGACCCAATTAAAACAGGGACCCCCCTAAATTTCCTTCACACCCAGCTTGAGGAAGACCCCAGATTAGAGGAATATTTTCCTTATTGCCGACTTTAGTTTTTGTGGAATTCCACTGGATAATAATTGAGCCCATGTGTGCCTGGTATTCCGGGGTGTTCCCATTTTGGTAGAGTGTGGATAAAAATGGCACGTTGTTACAGACATCAGGGCAGGCACAGTTTTAACAAATCTTTTTTTTTTTTTCCTTTCCTCTTCTTCTTCTTCTTCTTCTGGGTTTTCACCGCAATCCTTGGATCGTTGTTTGGAATTAATAGAAGAAGGGGATTTTTCTTTTTTTTAAGTCTTGGTCAGATTTCCATGTGGGAAGAGGCGGAGGCTTAATTGAGATCAAATAAACAAAGTCACCTGTGAATGATTTCAGCTCATAATGAGACACATGTTCGCTTGTTCATACGGGCGCATAAGCCCTGCACGCGCCCACACACACACACACACACACACACACACACACCCACACACACACACACACACACACACCACCTCCATTCGATAAGCACTAAAGCAGGTGTTTGTATCACTCCCATACTCTGTGAAATCCTGCACATGCCATATGCCTCCACACAAACATACTGGCACTGACTCCTTGTCTAAACTCTCACACACAGACACACACACACAAGCACGCACACACACACACACACACACACACACACACACACACACACACACACACACACACACACACACGCAAAGACACACACACTCACCAAGGATTAGCCACGGCTTCTCATAACCTCCAAGACTCAACAGTGAGAGCTTGTGTTCTGCTCCCCTATGCAGTGACCCATCATCATCCTGCTCCCTCTGGCTTTGTGAGTGCTCTGCTCTACACAGGAATGAATAGCCACTTGTTAAATAAACCCAGGACGCTGCTTAGGTATCATAGTGGTCTGCACGGTATTATTCTAAGTGGTAATAATAAGAAAAGCATCAGGACACTGTCTGACTCTCAGCTGTTCTGCAGACGGCTCTCTACCTGTGAGAGGTCTGTGGACAACTGTGGGAGTTAGACTTTGATTCATGTCTTCCTAATTGTAATAGACCTGAATCCTCTAAAAACAACATGTGGATCATTCTTATGCACCCACACGCTCACAGACACACACACACATTCACATGCACATGCACATGCAAATAGGTTTGTGTGCACGCACACGCTCAGAAACACACACCTACTCTACACACAGGTAATTGTGCCCACCTGGGAAAACATCATTTAGTCAGGCACCCCTTCCTTCTGCTAACACTGCTCTTACAGCATGGATGTGTGTGTGTGACCTCCTTTACCCTTTGCTTGCTCTTTGATCCCACATTGCATTTGACTATCAACACTCCCTAAGCCCTAAACCATCCAATTACAATACTATATTTTATAAGCTTTGCAGTTCAAGGCAGAAAATGACTGTGCTTCTTTATGCAACCCTAACGTCCAACCATGTTGTAGTGAAATCGACCATCTATCTTCGGTCTTCTAGACACAAATACTTCATTTAAAAACAACCATTTGCTGTTTCAGTCGTCTTCATGTGCAAGTGCAATCTGCAAGTCTGTGTAAATTAATGATTTTAACTTTTGTAACGTAACCACCGAAGCACGGGCTGACAATCACCATGTTCAGGTCAAATTCCTTCACAGTCTGCTGAATGTAAAGTACTGTAGGTGACATAAATCTGTGTGTGCAAGCAAGGACTTCAGGGCAAGAGACACCAACACCTCTTTGAGCTTGTGTTTGGGTTTCACTGTGAAATTTATCGTTTTTCACTTATGTGCAATGGCTGAGGAGGAGGAGGAGGAGGAGGAGGATGGTTAAAAGGCACCCGAGCAGGATGGATATTCATTTGTTCTGCTTGTCTGCCTGACAGCTATGTGTTTGTGAGTGTGAGGGTGTGTGAGCAAAGACATGTTTTCTGAGCTTTGATGTGACTTTTACACGTTATGTTTAAAAAAGATTACATGACTGGAGCAATAGTTTGACATTTTACTTTCTTGGCAGGAGTTGGATGATGGAAGATTGGAAGATTGATACCTGTCAGATATGTTGTACTGTATAGCTGGAGGCGAAATACATACAGCTTAGCTTAACGCTAGAAAGGGGGAAACTGCCACTGGCTTTAAACTCACCACTTAACTCAAAGACCAAATCTTGCCATCCTAGGGGTAAGTGAGAAAAGCATGCAGGAGATGAAGACAGAGAGTTGGCTCCATCGATGTCCCCAGCATTGACGTAAAGGCCAGGAGTCTCATGGCAGACACCTGCTGTGCTCCTTTTAATAATCACTAACTGGTGCCAACAATGACACACACACACACACATTCATGAGTGTGAGCATGCCAATAAACATGGGTAGGTGATCTGGGCAGGCCCCAGCTATCTTTGGCATCTCCTGTGCGCCGGTGGCTGCTGTGCCAGGCTGCCCAGGCAGCGAAGCCATCTGATACGAACTGACACCGCCACCAGCTGTTGCCCAACCTCAGTCATGTTAGTGTATCTGCCAGTTTTTTTAAATGCATGATGAGCATGGAGCTTTACATAATTTAAAGCTGCACACTGATGTCCAGCACTTACTGTGTCTATTTTTTTCTTTTTTTTTTCTTTTTTAAAAAGCACTAGAGGCAAATTGGTCACAGCAGTCTGCCCTCCTTCGCCGAAACATTTACACAAATTTAGTGGTTCAGACACTTCAAAAACCCACACCCCTACGTCAGCTCCAGCTGGTCCACTTGCTGTGCTCCATTTAGTTGCTGTACTCCTCTGCTGCCATCTACTGGTTTAAATAGATACTGTTAGCAACGATATTTTCCTTTGTGAACATCAGCCTACTGAATAGTGAGTGATGGACATCTGTGTGCCATCTTGGATTGAGTAAAGCTACATGCCCACTGAGTATTTAAATAGCTGGTGAAAATACAAGCCTCACTGCTAGTGACAGTGACACCACCAGCAACATTATATCAAACCGATACCTTTCACTATAGTTTCAAAGTCTTGGCTGAGTATGAATAGCAAGACATGAACATGAAATATTATATTTTTACAATTTTAGCAGTTATGTGGAGACAGTGGAGACTACATGTACTATCGTCATAGCAGAAACCCAATGTAGAGTATAATTATGGCAATAATTTAACAGGTGAAGGACAGTCTTGTTCCAATGCTCTCTCTCTCTCTCTCTCTCTCTCTCTCTCTCTCTGCGTTTTGGTTACACTCATTGTGGAGATAGAATATCACAAAGAACTCTGTGACCCACAGAATCCATGTTACAAAGACAATAAAAAAAGACAAAGGCATATGAGGAAGCTTCCACAGCTTCCACAGCTTTTGGTGGAGACTGTAAATAATATGTTTGTTTTTTTCCTTTTCCATTACCGAGGGGGTGGAGGGTGGGGGTGGACACACACAGCAGTTCAGCAAAAGTAGCCGCCACGCACACGCAAGGCAGTTTGTTCCAATGGCATCCATTCATCCATCATATCTCACCCCTCCAACAGGTCTCCTGCCATGAAGATGATGTACCCCTATTGTGAGGTCTAAATACGCAACCAATTTTTCCATGTCAAACCTTTATAATCAAGACTTAGAAGACTTAGATATTCTTCTCAACACACATAAAACAGACATAAGACAAACTCTACAAAGAGTTCAGCTGACTTTGTCATGAGAGCTGCAGCATGTGTTTTTGATGGACAGTTTGGCAGCATCATTAATTAAACAGAACAAGCTGGTACAAGACTGATAAAAAGAGATGAGGGGCCGTGGGAGAAATAACAAATGGTGATTCAGCCAAGTGGAATAGATTGTTTTTCAGCTATTATGAAAAAATAAAAATATTCAAATAGAAGAAATGGAAATTTTTAATCATACATTTTTCATACATTTTCATAACCACTATGAATCCCACCTCAGCAAAGTGGCCAAATGCATCCATATATAGAGAGGATTACAGGTAAGATTACCCTTATAACCAATGAGAGTATTTTAAATTGGTGATATGAACACAAAACTGGGAACAGAAAAGATGCCACTGCATTTTATTTACTCATCTTTGGAATAAAATATTGTCTTCAATTAACAATAAGGAATTCATTACTTTCCATAAAAGTTAAAAAGTCAGTTCTAAATTTTCCATAACACGTGGAAGAACATGCATGGGGCCTTTCTCTGCAGGCAACAGCTACACCACCAGGACAGAGGGCCGCTGCCCAAAATGCCCCTGCGAAAACACCTTGGTGAAGCACGATATGACCTTGGAAAACAGCCTGCTATTGGTCTCTGTTTATCTTTGGGCTACCTTTCAGTTTTTTTTAAAGAGTAAGCTTTGCCAATCTATTTTATCAAAAACACATGCCGCAGATCTCAGGAGGTCAGCTGCTTATTTTGCTTATAAAAAGAAGTCAAACAAGACCCGCATGTCTCTGTTTTGATCTAAAGAGGCATCAATAAAACGGCACAATGAAAGCAGGTTCATCGTTGCTGCTCTGCCTGCTGGTGTCATGGGCTCTCCAGGTGCGAACAAATGAGGGAGGGGAGACCAAACTCCATGATCTCCTGCCTAACAAAAAGCTAACTCTGGACCATGATGCCGCAGCTGACCAGTTCACTGACCAGAACAGCACCACCCCTGACATTTGGACAGAGTTGAGGGTGCTAAGGGACATAGTGGTGAAGCAGAATGCTGAGCTGAGGACCGTGGAGGCCAGGCTGAGGGAGACAGAGATACAGGTAGATGAGCAGAAGTTGGACCTCCTCCTCGCTAAAACCAGCTTGGAGGAACTGCAGACAGATCAAACTGCCATGGAGGGGAGATTGGGAGCCAGTGAAAAACTAGGAGAAGACCTGAGGAAAGAAAACATGGAGCAGTCGGCGGAGCTGACAGATCTTAGAGCGAGGCTCGACGCCAGTGAAAGGCGTGTAGAGGAGCTGGAGGTCCAGCTTGAAAACCAGGCAGCTGAGCTTCTGTCCACACAAGCCAGAGTGGCAGTCAGCGAGAATGAGCTGCAGCTCCTAAAGCGCAGGATGGATGACGTGCAGGCTGAGAACACAGTCCAAGATGTTGAACTTTCATCTTTAATGGACAGAACAAACACTACAGAGCACCGAGTGGATATTCTAATCAAAGACAGTGCGAAGGTGGCATTTTATGCTGCTTTGACAAACTCAGGAACAGTAGGACCTTACAATACTCCAAAAGTCCTAAGATTCAGCAAGGTCTTCACCAATATTGGCAAAGCCTACAGTCCAACAACTGGTTTCTTCACTGCACCTGTGAAAGGACTGTACTTTTTTAGATTTACTGTATGTAGTCATATGAATGAACACATCGTAATGGCAGTGAAGCTATTGCATAACGGGAGATCCATAATGTATAATTTGCAGACCTGGGATAATGGTTTTGGGCAGTTTGAGTACATGTCTAATGCTGTTATTCTAGAACTGAATGTCGGTGATGAGCTACATTTGGTCCTCCCAGAAGGGGGGCAAACCTATGATAATGGAAACAATCACAGCACATTTAGCGGCTTCCTGCTTTTCGGTGTGTGATGTCCAATCCAATCCAATTTCAAACTTGGAATTTATGACCATCCATATAAATACATTTTCTTTATCTCTTGTGTATTGTGATTATTTTGGTTTATTCAAACAATGCCAGGTGTTTTTTCAGTGTATTTTCCACAACACGTGATCAGAAGAGGGACTATTGTATGCAAAGTTTTGCTGTATAAAATGAAATGATATAATAACACTTCTATGAGTATTGTAGGGATGCCTAGAGATTATTGTCAGGTCCCAAGATTTCCGCAAAACACATTGTGTTTTGTCCAGAAGATGGCAGTCTGAGGATGCCATGTGCACAGAGGGATGTATTAGGGAGGGGTCTGGCGAGAAATTTGGGGAATAATGACATGGATGTATATAGTGATGTAACCTTAATCACACCCTCAGTATAAATGACTTTCAAAGTTGTTCAAAAATAAAAAAAAAATAATAATTCAGCTGTATGTCTCTCCATAAGCTAAAATATCTGTCCCATATTTACGTGTAGACAGATAGGAGAGAGATGTTGGAATGTAAAGTATAAACTGTTGATTGTAGTGAACATTCTGCACTGGCCACATCGGCCCTGACAAACAGTCATTCCAATATGAAGTAAGTGATTTGAAGGAACAATGAGGGCAGATGGGAAACACGATGGGATCAGCTGGAACACAGTGTGATTTCTGTCCTCCCCTCAGTCTGTGGACCTTTTTCACATCACAGTTTGGGCAGTTGTCCAACAAAACAATTAGCAAGTATGGGAATCCCGGCCCCGCTCTCACACAGACCCCTCCCTCCCTCCTCTATCTCTCGTCCTCTCTCGCTCTGTGCAGCTGGCCCCAGGAAAGAGGCGGCCAAGTTTATTTTCTCCACGGTGGTCCCTTTGGGGTGGCGGCGAGGCCCCTGCCATGCCGCCGCTGATGTATTAGGTGCGGGTTCTTGAAGAGATGTCGGTGGGACTCTTTTATTACTACAGCACTCAATCATATTGTTCCTGTTGTAGGATACTTGGTACTGTCCTTGATGTGAACAAGTGTGTAAAGTCAGCCAGCCTCTCTCCTCCTGCTAGTCACTGAAAAGTAGCTTTAATGACTAATAAAGCAACAGCACAATTTGTTTGGATTTAGCACATAAACCCAAATAATGTAAATACTGTGTCTGAATGACAATACAGAAAAGTCCTGTTGGGGAAATCTGGAGGTGAAGACCATGAGATGCTGCCAAAAGCTAAAAAAAAAAAACTAGTAAGAGGACCTATCAGTTTAAATATAATTGAAATATCAATCATTATAATAACTGTCATTGAATATAGAAAAATCCATTCATTTTAACCTGGTGTCAGATGTATTCAGATCTTTTACTTAGTAAAAAATATCTCAATGTAAAAATACAATACATGAAGCAGATTACATATTATTGGAACATCACTATTGATGCAATACAGTAAGGAGCATTGTTGTTTCAATGCAGAGCTCGTGTTATTTTAGGCATATTCCAGTGTTTCTAGGTGAAATATATTGAAGTTGACCGACTTTTAGGTTAAAAATATAATCACATAAATACAGTGGAGTAGAAAGCACAAGTAGTCTACTATCTCAAAACTAGTAAATTGAGCAGCTATGTAAACATGACTTTTGCAAACTTTTGTTTTGTCAGTGCATGACCTCTGAGTGTAAGTTGAGTTGTAAACTGTTGTAAAAAAAAAAAAACCCAAAAAACATGTTGATCCACTATATCCACTTTTCTTCAGCGCTTTACTTTCATTGTAATAAACTACAATGAGAGAGAGAGAGAGAGAGAGGCCGTGTGTCAGGCTGCATAAATAACTGTCGGCATGATGTAAACACAGCGGTCATAACCCGAGCGAATTAAAACAACTGCTCTGGGCGGGATTAAAGCTCCGCGCGCACTTTTTCAACCACTTTCAAAAATGTCTTAAATGTCCTCTGACGGCGACTCAGACAGCTCACTGCTGATTGGCTGAATCTTAAAATAGTCTGTCCAATCAGTGCACTAAGCGTCTAATTAACATGACGTGCATCTTTTCCGTGACGTTTTAGAAATGAAATCATGATATTGTCTTACTGCTGTAATGAAATTAAGCTTTACAGACTGTACGGCCTAAAAATATTAAGATATTTAGCTACAGTTGAAATGATAGCCCTCCAGTATACACAAATGATATCTCCAGCTGTTTTGACTTGTGTAGGCTAAATGACAAGAAACACTAACTGCCCAAATAATCTTTCAAGGCAAGTTTGTTTATGTAATGGCAACCAAGTCTACTGTTATCTTTTAGAAACAACAGAGAGAGACTTATCTGCGCTGACGCTTTGTTGGTGCTCGGGTTCTGCTATTCTGAAGGAGTGGAGTGATGAGAGGTTACTAGAGGTCAAAGCAGTGGCCCACACACGGAAATAAAATTAAAAATAAGGTTAACAATAAGAGGGGAAAAAATACATTCAGTACACAGGGTGTAAAAGTGATACAAATATATTTTATATACATGTAATCTGTACAACCATTGGAGACAGTGGACACGGATCATGTGCACAGCCGTCCATCATAATGCAGCTGCCAAAACAGGCCTGCACGAGTAAAAAAAAAAATGCATCTGCAGAGTATAAAAAAGCAATTGAATGCACGCAGTTTATCTTTGAACCAGCAAAGACAACAATGAGTGACAGAATGCATTTAAATAAAATTTTTAAAAATTCAGCTCGTCTTTACAGGAACGATGGAGAAAGAGGACACACTCCCTCCGTTATTCCCACTCAAAGTCTGCGGAGATGAGACGTGGATTTCAGTTATTATCTTTTTTTTCTTTTTCTTTTTTTTTCAAATTATTTTCTTGGTAAAATTTTTCCCTTCGAAACGTGGGTGCATCAGGACGCCGTTGTTCCACATAACCTTGTTGTGTTCAGCATCTCCTTCAAGTCGTTCTCCGGCTTACCTGCGACCATGAAAGGCCACGTCTGCGGAGGGAAACACAACCAGTTAGGCCAAACAGTTTCTTAAAACAACAACAAAAAATTAACAATTAATTCAACCAAAAAAAAAGAAAAAAAAAATTGATTGAATCACTTCACTTCCAGGCTTTTTTTTTTTTTTTTAAACAAAAAGGAAGCACTATCACCAGCTCTTCATGCATTGAATAAAAAAAGGTTTTGCAGCTCCAATATTCTGATCCGTAATATTACTATAATCTTGTTATATTTATATATAATATTATTAATTTATATATATATTAAATATGTCTGAATGGCGTATCTCTCACCTCACTATAAAACAAGGTCATTTGCAGCTCTACTGTGATATTTTAGATATTGCAGAATTAATGTTATTTTCATGATGGCCTAATGCTCTGCATCAGCTGCATTATTCTGAAATGATTCTCTGAGATAAATTAGAGGCCTATATTTCTATTGATTGTAGAATCATCGATCGTGCAGGAGTTTTTGACAGGTCAGTTTGCAGAAAGCATCAGCATTAATAGAAAATGACATGAATTCTTTTTCCCCCTCATCTATGCACCTGCTTCACATGACTATCACCCACCTTTGTCACCTTGGTGCTGTAGCCTATGAGGCCTTGTGTGAAAATCCTGATGACTTTAAAAGTTCTAGTTATTATATAAAAAGTAAACTGAGTAAATATCACGAGGCAAACAAACGTCATTATGCTCTAACAAAATCATTCAACAGCTCCTTCATTCTCAGAATATTGGCCAACAATATTCAAAACCACAAGTCTGCCTCGTTCAAAAACATTTCACATAAGTCTTCCCTCCACTGGATCCCCACATCTCACCAGGTTAACAGGGTGGATATATCCGTTTTCATATTTGTCGTTGGCCAGTATCTGCCGGAGGTGCGCGATGTAGCTGGACGCCAGGCGCAGTGTGTCCAGTTTGGAGAGCTTGGTGTCCGGTGGTACCCAGGGTAAAGAAGTCTTCAGCCGGGAGAAGGCTTTGGACAGGACGCGCATCCTGGCTCTCTCCCGCGCGTTGGCCGCGTTCCTCTGCACCTGCTTGCCCTCCTGCTGTGCCACACCCTTGGCTGCAGTTTTCCGGGACGATGTCTTCCTTTTCTTGCCCGGCGCGTCTCTCCGGTCGTCGTTTGCGCAGGGGCCCTCGCAGTTGGAGCTCTCCTCTGTGCTCTCGTTGGAGTCTTTGCCGGAGGAGCCAAACTTCAGGATGCCGTCCAGGAGCTCGTCGTCGACATCGCTGAGAGACCCGGTGGACATGGTGAACTGTGTCCGACTGTAGCGGGCTCAAAACATGGGAGCAGGAAGCTCAGGCTGGACAGGAGTGGACGGGGTGTTCATGAACTGCTAACCGTGCGTGGACAGAGCAGAAAGGAACAGACTTTTTATCTCCATGACCAGAGAGGGCGTTACCTCATGCTGGGAGGAGACACTGGTACTGATCTCACTTGCTGGTTTCCCAAAGGTTTCCTGGACCCCAAGGGACCCTGGTTGGCTCTCCAGCAAATTACAGAATATACTGTTCATTTTAAACACAATTTAACTCTATTCAGACTCACTTTATGAATTATGTTTGAAGAGATAACATGAGTTAATTACTGTGATATCTACTGTTTTTTAAGAATTTCAGGATGCCCTGAACTTTAGCTTTAGAAAGTTTGTATACGACCTACCTGTTAAAAGAATAAATAAATAAAAAAAAAAAAAAGAAAGAACATAAGTTTGGGGCCCAAGGTATATATGTCAAGAATTTAACCTCTACATGAAAACTTGACATTGTTGGTTTCGAAATCCACTCATTTGGTGAATAATAAATATTACTGACATTAAAGAAAAACAAAAACAAAGAAATCAATGAATTTGGAAATGATAATATGCCCAATAATTTTAGCATACTTTTTGGTTTACAGATTATCCTTTAAAAATCAAGACAAATGACTTTTAACCCATAGGATTCAAAATAAAATCAATGTTATGTTATGTAATCGGCATAAAGATGTTTATTATCATAACCTGGAAATTAGGTTAAAAAAGCAAAATACCAATATTTTATTTTATATTACATTTCTTAAATTCAAAGCTATAATTATGAAATATTATAGAAAATTTATTATTTTTACTATTTAACAAATTATTAGATTTTAACATAATAATATATCTTATAATCAGATATATGAGTGTTCAGTGTTTTGCCTGTTCCGCTCACAGGGTCCATGCAACTTTCAGCACATCTTGCCAGTTAACAGGATAAAGTGCAAGGACAGGGGGGTGTCACGTCTCAAATGGCAAACTGGCGCCTCGGTCCCCTCTGATGTAACGGATACCCGGCACCCACAATCCCCTGTTTGGCCTTCCACATCATTCCACACCGATGCTCCATGCACTGGTCCACTCAGGGCCAAGTCCAAACAACAAAGTCTCTGGAGCTGCTTTAAGTGGAAGAGGTCGGGGTGCACCAGGAGAACACTGTTCATATATTCATGTGCATCTTGTTCTTGGCTGAAACATATAGCGAGATTCTGAGTGACTTGAAGCTGCAGATCTTTCTTGCAGGGATGCAAGATTGTGTGTGTGTGTGTGTGTGTGTGTGTGTGTGTGTGAGACAGAGTGTATATGTGTGAACACAATGCCTTTGCCTGCACAGCTGAAGCGTGTGCAAGGATAAGAGGGGTGTCTCTTGAGACCTGACCTTTAACCTCTTTGCTTCCGGTGTCACAGCGCATTTAAACAGGCACCACAGCTACGTGTTATCCACTAGAATCACACAACGAAACACCGCAATGTTGGTCGGGCTGCATTTAGTCAACTGGAAAAAGTTTAAAGTCCTGACAAGAAAGGAGGAACAGATCTTACAAATCTGAAAGAACAAGACATTTTGGAAAAAGAAGTTCACATGCTGAACTGCAAGGGCGGAAAAAAGCGCTACACAGAGCAGACAGAAAGAGAGAAAGACAGGGATATAGGTGAGGGGATGCAGGGAGAGGAAAGAGAGGAAGGAGGGGCTTAATCTCCTGGGTGGGCTGGAAATCAAAGCACTTAGTGGAAAAGTAATAATAGAGTCTGCTAGATTGATGATCACCTCTGAGATACATGGATCCACCAGAGAGTAATAGAGAGAGTGAGGGAGAGGGAGATGACCTAAAATAGCTCATGAAAAAGACTCGAACGCCCCCCCCCTCTCTCTCCTGTGTGTTGCTAAAACACAGACCCTGATGTAATACCATCATAACTTTCCTTTGTACTCGCAAAGACTTTAATTATCATCATAAAATGTACATTTAAATGTTCCTAATTGTGCCAAGCCTGTTTAGTCATCAGACATATTTTGTGCCGGTCCTTCATGTGAAGGATGAAACAATGTACCGCAAGTGTTAAGGAAACATTTTCTGTGACCGTTTTTTCTCTCAGAGCATCGGTCACACACACAGTGACACGAGGCAACAGGTGGAGAGGCGGGTGAGAAGGATGGAGGGAGAAAAAAGAGGGGACTCTGGCAGCTATGGAGGGACATGCTGCTAATTAGCCGGTTTGGGGTCAAAGGCTAGGCTGGTTGTGTGATGTCACCACGAAGGGACGGGTTCCAGATGTTGCTCGCAGGGCCACCGAGGGGGACATCCGATTCCTCGGGTCATTATCATTTCTCACACACATGCACGCAAACACCTTTGTTAATAGTTTTTTTTTTTTTTTTCCAGTGTTAAAGCTAAGTGTATGTGTTAAGAAACAGTGAATGTGGCTTTTGAAAATCATATGGGAATGACAAACATGATACGCTAACACACGGTAACATACAGAATGCTGCGGTTACAGGACTAGCCGTAGCTGTGAGTTCTGGCAGTCCGGTCATTTTCTATCATCACAACTGAGCCCATATAAAAGAGGGACAGCTAATGCTAGCTAGAACCCCTCCTTTCTATAATGTATGATGAACACGAGACTGAGTGTGTGAGAGCTGCCGATGACAAAGCCCCCAGGAATAGCGCATCACATGACGCACACTGGCTCTAAACATTATTAGGATGCATATTTTGACATATGTGCCCTGTAAGCTTGTGATATCAAGTTAAAGTTAAAGGGGCTGTATGTAAGTTTTCTCTGCCGCCGAATGTGGGGCGGGTGGCGGTGATGGTTGCTTACCAAGAGCCATTGTTGCATTTACAATACAAGAGGTTATAAAACGCCCTTTAAGCAGTGATACTTCTTGAGGGCAGACTGGATGGAAAATGACGGGACGGGCCCGACCGGGCCAGTGCTAGATGGTTAGCATGCTAACTTCAGTAGAAGAAAAGCAGAGATAGAAATAGAAGCAAAACACATTGGTGTCGCTTTCCACAGCTGGAGACAGCTCTTGGCGAGGAGTTTGATGTTTCTTCTAGACTTGTAAGGAAACAAAATGCTAATGTTGCCTATGTAGCAATAGCAAAAACTTACATATAGCTCCTTTAATACATCCATGCTGATGACTTAGCAGGTGTTAAAATAACAAAAGTAATGTCTGGTGTGAGCCAGAGAACTGTGCACAGTAGCTGCAGTATCATCATAGTTTTATTTCCTCCTTTACTCAAGTATAAAATGAGTATAAAATGTAAAGAGTCTGCACATGACTTTACGAAGCTGGGATTGGTGGAGCATTATTGAGCTTTATTTAATCTTCTTGGGACAAAGTTAACAAAGTCAATCTTCACTTTCATTAAAATAGTTTTTCTCATCCTCTTTCCTCACCCACTTTTTCCAGCCTTGTGAGTGTTTACTGAAAAAGGCAAAGAAACGTGGACGCAATACATTACACTGTGGAACAACTGACTAATGTGAGAGAATAGGATCGTAATATGAAGCAAAATACAGTTTTATTTACTGGAAAAACATTCCACATGTATTTTTTGTAACTCAAAGAATGAAATCAAAAACAAACAAAAAAAGAAAAAAGGAAGTTGCTTGGTTGCTGTGCAAAAACAGAATGAGAAACAGTAATCTTGGAGTGAAGCTTAGGGTGAGAAAAACATCATCCATCTTTGTCTAAGCGCGCCAGTTCCCTGTCCCTTATCACAGCCATACTCCCCCAACACACATACGTATGCACAAATTGCTTTTCACCTCAGTTCAAGTACCTCTAAAAAAAGAAAAATCAAAGCAAAACAACTAAAAGAGAGGTTGCAGAGAGTGCAAAGATACAGCAGGGAGTGGAGAAAGTCTGTTGCAAAAGGATGTGGCAGACAAACCCGGCAATAAGAGAGAATTATGAACATGTTTATGGGAGTGGAAATATCATATTATATTTCAAAAAGACTACAATCCTTTGATATTCTGTGACAGGAACATCCGGAGGGAGGCAAACAGTGATTCTCCAGAATAAGACTGATATTCTGTCAAAGTGTAGGTTAATGACCTGGAAGTCTTGTCCTTACAATGTGAGGGAGTTGGAGTGTATTGGTCTCTGGAATGTGTGCACACATACGCACTTATCTGCATAAGTGTGTGCATCTGTGTTAAACGTATTGGGTTTCACAATGTGTGTGACGGATGGATATGGATGATGTGGAACCTATGAAAAAGCGTGATATCTTGGCCAATGCTGGAATCTCTAAAATGACGCGCACACCAAGCTCGTCTGGCTTTCGGATTTAGCCAGACGAGCGTGGACAAAGTCTTAAGCCAATGTTGTACTTCCCGCAAGGGTCCGCTAGGGTCCACATGGCGCAAATTTCATCACTGGTGGGTGTACGCATGGTGTGGGCGTCAGCAAAACCCACCAATTTGTTCTGCGCTCCACTGGGTGCCAACTGCGCTTGAAGCTTGAAAACGAACATGGTCCACCACTACCCTCACCTCTACAATTGATCTTTAAAAAGAAGAAGTACAGAAGCAGACAAAGCAGCTCTTCTTCTTGCATTGGATGTCGCCATTTTGATTTGGTTCGTAGAGCGCGTGCCCGTAGACAACGATCTACTGCGCATGTATGGAACGCATCCTCCAAGTGGACCACAAGCGGAGTATAAATTAAAACAACTACGAGTCCGTGGTGTCCGCAGCTGTTCGTATATGCGTCCACAAGTTAGTATAACTTGAGGCCTTAGGGTGCTGTTCCCTTCCTTATAGGTCAGTTGCCGTGCAGCTGGCAATAAGTCATATCAGAAGCAGACAGATGGAGGTCAATAACTAATCAACCCTGGGAACGGAGAAGAGTGAGAAACAGACCCAAGTACAGACTGCAGATGTAATGACAAATTTACATATTAGACAAGATATACAGCATCTTGGACTGAGTTTGTCGCTGAAATAGCCATCATGCATTGCTGTGTTGATGGTTCTACCCAGAATACACACACACACACACACACACACACACACACTTGCGTTGGCTTGAAGTTGAATTGGC